GGACATGTTTCCTGGCAACTGAGCTCAGCTCTTCTTAGCACAGAGTAGGTTCTAAGTCAACATTTTGAATGGGACTCTAAGTCTCTTGGGGTTTTGAGGAATAAATAGGACATAATGGTGTTAAAATTTTGTTTTGTTTTGTTTTGTTTGAGTCCTGGAGATTGGACCTTGCAAATGCCACATTCCCCACTGGGATCTGCCTCCAGCCCTAATATTTCTCTAATTTTATGATTAGATGTGGGTTTAACATCTTTTGTTCATGAGATATTGTGAACAGATATGGCAGGAGAATAATCAATGCTTGTCATCTTGTCTTAAAGTCATCAAAATGGTTATTTCCATACACATCAAATTATTTCAATTTCTGAGTGTAAGAGAAGCATAACTATCAACCCAGCAAATCTTCTGTTGCCCGCTTCCATGAAGAATATGTGAAAAATAAGCACACATTCCTAAAAGCTACGACTGGCCCCTTCCCTTCTGTGTGTGATGCCATCTCTAGATGACTGGCTGGCGGTCAGGCTGGGGATAAACCATCCTGTCAGGTGTCTGGCTGGGGACTCAAGTGACTGCACCCCCGTGGATTAGTGTAGAGCTTCATTGGCCCCGATCATGACCCACGCTCATCGGGGGTTTCATGACGCCCCTCCACAGGTAGCAACGTTGGGGGACAGGGGCTGTGTATTTGCCCTGCTCTATTTTGGGGGTGGGAGGATACTGGGAAGTGACCTCTGGAGTGCCTTGCCTCTGCACCATGCCTCCAGTCCTTTTAAATTTTTTATTTTGAGACAGGGTCTTGCTAACTTGCTGAGGCTGACCTTAAACTTGCAATCCTTCTGCCTCAGCCCCTGATTGCTGAGAATACAGGCTGTAGGCATGTGCCACTGTGCCCAGCTGTGCTGTTCTAGCTCTAGCTATTTGCCTCTGAGGCCTGGTAGTCTGTGCACGGTCCCCGACCTCCTGCTTTGCTGATTGCTGCTGTGCAGTGATCCCAGCCTGGTGTTGAGGTGATTAGATCAAAGTGAACACTTCGGCTAGAGTTGGGCCAGGCCCTAGCTCTTTCCTGGAATATGACTGAGGACTCAGAATTTCTGTCCAGCCTCTGTTGGATGGTCACAAATAAAAGTGTGACAAAGTCTGGGTTGGGATGGCCATGATTGGGTCAGAGTCACCAGCTCAGAGAGAGCACATCTGCACAGAAAGGAAAGAACAGGGACTGGAGCCAGTGGGAAGCGGAGCGCAGAGACCAGGAGCCACAGAAACTGGAGGAGCTGTCCTGATCACTGTGAGCACCACTTTCTGAACCCTGGCTGTGTGATGTTGAGTTGCCCTTTAAGTTTTAGAGTGTGTGGTCCACTCGTGTGTCTTCTAGGTGAGTCCCCTACTTGCCTCAGAAGGCCAAGCAAAGTTTGTTCCTCGCCAACAAAACACGTCACCAAGTCATGAACTTCCCAGGTGCCCTCTTCAGCACGAGTCTCCCCCCCAGTACATCCAGTGGGTTCCTTCTGCAGGTGTTGGTCCGTCTGCTTTGAAATCTGGTTCTATGGGATCCTGTTGCCAGAGACCCTCAATCCGCAGGGACTGAATGCTTTCTGCTCAGTTGGCTGCGGATGACTGGGCACGCTAGTTAAAATGTTGACCTGATCATCTGGTGAGCTCTCTTGCACACTGATGAGAGAGCTGCATGTAAAATAGGACATAGGTTGACCAGAACACAGTCTGCTTCATAATTGGGTTAATTGGGTAAAAATTCACATAGGATAAAATGCCACATATGTACTTGGCATTCATTTAACGATAGCATACTTCATTATTTTATAGACCTTGCTTCATACATGCTGCAATATGATTACCCAGCTTGGTTTCCATCTCCACCATTAAGTGAATTACATGTCCTCGGCAAGGTAAGTCACTGAACCCGTGTCTCAAGGTAAGTCACTTAACCCGTGTTTCTTGATCTGTAAAATGGGACTACATCCACCTCATAGCACTTTGTCATCATTCATTTGCAGTTAAATGAGTTTCTATGTTTAAAGCAAGTTAAGACCTGTGTGGCACATGGCACTTTATAACCTCATAATTATTGACTATTATTATTGTTACATTAAACACACATGACTAACAAGTGGCAGATTTAAATAACCAGTTCCAAGGACTCTCATGTACATTAATTCCTTGCAGTGTAAAACATTTTATTATGATGATGATTTCAGCTATAGGGGTCCAAACTCATGTTATGATTGGAGATATGGAAGTTCAGAAAAATGAAGAGATTGCTCACAGTTATAGATGGTAGATATCAGAGGACTTCAAGTTCTGTTATTCAGTCTCCTAGTGACATGTTGATTCTGCTTCACCACATGTGTGTGTTGGAAGGACACCAGTTTATTTTTTAATAACTATAAAAATGGAGGAGACTATTATGTGAACATTTCAGTTAACTTTAATCAACTGAAATGCTCAGAGAACAGCATGTTCTAGTGAACTAAAAATTAACTAGGCAGAAAAGTCTTCAATTATTAGTCCTTAATGAGGCAAAGTTGAAGTTAGATGAGTCCATTTCTTGTAGAAGGCAATTTATCACAATTTGCACTCTGCCTGACACCGTGATCATCATATTCAAAGCTCCACTTCTCATCCCACAGACTGGCAGAGGGACGAAGGAGAGCAGAGGTGAAATTGCCATGTTCTGACCCCTCTGTTCCCCAAGTCCCCGTCTCTCCAAGTCACCTTGTCATCCTCTGTACCTTCACATGCCGCTGCCTCTCAAAGTGGGTTCATGGTTTTGGTTGGTCAAGGTGTCCTCTATTTGCTTTTGAGGCTCCGGGCTACATCACACTGGGTCTGTCCATACTCCTCGGCATGAAGTGAGTTGTGCAGGGGTCTGCCCTGCCCTCCAGCCTGCTGATCATGTGGGGAGCAGAGAAACAGAGATTTAAAAAAGAATTCAATATTCTTGGGTCCCCATCTTTCCATCATCGGTATTTTCCAGTGCAGGATGGAGGATGCACTGAGGGCTGTGCTGAAGGAGCGGGGAGCTAGAGGCCCCGAGCAGGTGCAAAGGAGTCGGTCAGGCAGGAGAGCAGGAGGAAGAGTTTAGAACTCGGCACCATTTTCACTGAAACCCTTGGGCAGTGCCACGTGGTCCCACTGTGTGCTCTCCATTTTGCAGCTCAGTTGTTTCCCTGTTTTGAGCTTGGGAGTCTCAGAGCCGATGGAGAGGAGGGCCTGGCGATCCTCCTCACGTTGGGAGCCCTGTGAATAGCTGGTGGAAAGCCACTGTGTGGGGAGCGAACTGTGCCCACCTCCTCTTGCCAGGGATGCTCTCCCCCAGCCTCTTCTTGGGGACCCTCAGTCTCTGCAGCTGGGTTCTGGGTAGAGCCGGTGCCAGGCCCCTGCAACAGCCCAGGAGGCAGCCTTGACCTTAGAGCCCTCGGGCGGAGATGTGAGGTGTTCCAGGTCAGGTGCGCCCGAGCCTGTGTCCACCTGGCAGCCCCCAGGAGTACGGAGCACAGCGGCCATCGGCCTGGTCTCCACCAGGACAGCCCGATGCTCGCAGTTGGCTTCTGGGTTCCTGGTGGTCACACCACTCATGCTCGGCCCAGTGTGGTCCGCGATGCTGCCTGTGGGTCCACATGGGTCTGTGTGGTCCACAGGCGTGGTGGCCCTCGTGTGTCCGTGTCCTTCGGTCTCCACCTGCTCCACTCCTAGGGGGCTCAGGCCTAGAAGTGAAGACATCCTGCCCCTGTCTCCCTGAAGTCCTGCTGAGTCCCCTGAGGGTCTGGCACCGCCTGGGTGCAATGGCATCTGTGGCCAGGACAAAGGAACCACCCAGCTGACACCTCCCCAGCTCCTGTCACAGGCTGCACTCACAATGGGAGGGCACCAAGGGCGGGGTGGGGCAAGGTGGGCCCCCTGTGCAGGCGCAGAGCAGGCCAGGGGCCAGTTGGCAGGCCACCCAGCAAGCAGGGCCAGCCTGCAGGGTGGCAGGACCAGGCACCCTTTGGAAGAGTCCCAGAAGGGTTATTAAGATATTTGAACCTTCTTTGAAAATTTCCCTTTGAGAGCGAACGGTTACCATCTTTCCTGGCAGCAGGCCACTGGGCTGAGCTGCCGTCTTAGTTGGCTGCAGACTTGGAGAGGGGATTGTAGATAACAGGACCAATTTTTAAGAATTTGTTATTTTCAAGTAACTCTTGACTGATCCTCCTTCCCCATTCTTATTCCCTTATGGTGACATTTAACTAGTCAGCCACCCAGAGTGTTTCCAGTTTTGAGGGGAGCATTGGAATAGAATTAAAAACCAAGTTTTCTTAAGCTGATAACCTCACCACACAGGCTGTCGTGGAAGAAAGCATTTGTATTATTGAATATGTGCTCCGCCACTGGGGTGCACCCCGCAGGCCACCCGTGAAGGTGCTGTGAAGACAGATCTCTGCATAGCAGGGGAGACTACGTGCTCTGCATACATGGACTAGATACCTGGTCCCCAAGTGAGAGGGCACAAGGCTACCATCTGTCATCCATAGCTCATCCTGAGTTCACCGGGTACTGGGGGGCAGGCAACATCTCTGTTGCGACTTGGCTTTATCTACAGAAGCAGCTCACTGATTGATATCTTTGTCACATAGGATGGCTTTGCAGTTTAAAGACAGGCACTTGGGGGAGCTAAGCTGTCCATCCTACAGAAATAGGGAGGCCTGGCATTATCCTTCCAAGTCTACTTTCCAAAGAGGTGGCTCCCAGGACCTTCAGGAAGACATTCCCAAGTCATAAAGATGATGAGGAGCCTGTTGAGTCTTCAGAAGGTTGTGTGTGCATTTCAGAGAGAGGAGGAAGTACTTTAAATCCCCCAGTTTTCTAACATAAATGCTTTGAGAATTAAGGGAGGCAAATCTCCTCCCTTATTTTCGACATAGAGCACTAAGCCTCTTATTTTTAGTTTGTATTTATCTTTTCCAGGGACAGCAGACGGTGAGCTGGAAGAGCCCCCTTCTCTGCATTACAAATCCAACCACATACGGTTTGATTTTTAACTTGAATGGAGACACCCAAGGTAAAGCTTCACCCAATTCTAGTTGTAGAAAACTGTTTCACATTAATGTTTTTTTGGGCTGATGTTCTTAGCAGGTGTGTTTCAAGTGCAGAACGTGCTGCAGGAGCTGAGGGTAAGATTGTAAGGGAGAGAGGCTGTGGGGGCCTGGGGGAGCTCAGTCTCCACAGCGCTGACCTCCGAGCCACATGCATAATTTGTTACACATTAAAAGCAGAACAGAAACTAGTTTTAGTAATGTATTTTATTTGACCCATTTATCTAAACCATTTTCATTTCTACGTGTTTTACCATAAAAATGACCAATAAGGGCTGGGGCTCAGCAGTAGTGCACTGGGTTTGATCCTCAGCACCACATATACATAAATAATGAATGAATAAGTAAAGGTCTATCAATAACTTAAAATATTTTTAAAAAATCACTAAAAATATATTCAAATTATTATTTTTCTCTTTTTTACTAAATCCTGGAGGTCCAGTGTATATATTTACACATGCTCCCCTCTCAGTTTGAACTAGATCATTTCACATGCTTCGTAGCTCCCTGTGGCTGATGGTGACCTTACTGTGTGAGGACAGCATGGACCTGCAGGGTGAGACAGATGACAAACGAGAAAACAAAGAAATCCTAGTTCAATTTAGATGAGGGCCAGTGCTCGCCAACACCCAATAAATCAAGACGAGTTGTCTTAAAAACAGTACTGAGAAAACGCCCTGAAGGGTTGTATTTGGACAGAACTCTGAGGGGAGGTCACCAGCTCTGGAGGGCTCTCCTTACACAGGCCAGAGACCTTCTCCACAACCTTGTGAGTTGTTGGACAGCCTGACAAAGAGACAGGGCCCTTCTCCGGTTCCTCGACACCGTGAGGTCCTACAACCATTGTTTCAGAGTTTAAAATTCTCCCAACCTGAGGAAGTGAAAGGAGGTCTCATCTACCAGTAGGTCCATAAGTTGGTACAGCCACATAAGAAAACAGCTTGGGATGACCTGATGGAGGAGAATAGTCATGCACAACGACCCACTACTTGAACTCCTTGGTCTCCACCCCTGGTGTATCCTGGAGGAACACTTGTGGGTGCAGAGCAAGAACCATGTATCAGGAAGCTGACACAAAGTTCACCCTAGAAAGGGTCATAGTGGCTTTGACAGGAGAGTGAGTAGATGTATTAGGTGGCACATCACAGCGGCAGTGCTGACTTAATTTCTCTGAGTCTTCATTTCTTGTTCTGCAAAATGAGGGTACTGAAAAGTCCTGCCACAGAGGGCAGCTGTGGAAACTAACTGGGCTGGAACTTCTAGCCAGGGCATTCCAGAGCCCAGGGCCATTGCTGAGCTGTGTGCCTGCTTGCCTTCACTGTGGAATTGGAAGGATTAACTTTCCAAACTCGCCGCATCTATCTTAAGTCATCTTGAAGATTTAAGATTTCCATTCTCTACATGTCATATTTGATATCTGCAAAAAATATATGTAAACTATTTTAATTATGGAATATAATGGGCTGGGGGCTTTTTCTGCCTGCCTTCACTCTGGGTCCCAGGCTGAGGATGAACCGTCAGTGGGCACACAGCTGGACAGTGCTGCTGGGGAGAGACAGATTTACAGAGCAGCCACCGACTCTGGATGCTCCTTGCCACTGGTGATGTGTTCCTTCTGCTCAACTTTCACAGGCCCCAGCGGGTCACGGGCCATGCTCGCCTTCGAGCTGGTGGCACCTTATCCAGCTCAGGCTGCTGTGAGCAGACACCATAAGACCGAGTGGGTCGAACAGCAGACATTTATCTCTCACCGTTCTGGAGGCTGGAGGTCCAGGGTCAAGGTGCTGGCTGCTTGGTTCCCAGTGAGGGCGCTCTTCCTGGGTTTCAGATGGCCACCTTCCTGCTGTCCTCACATGGGGGTGGGGAGAGAGAAAGCCAATTCCCTGCTGTCTCTCCTGACCTCATTTAAACCTATTCTCCATAAAGAGCCCAACCTCCAAGGCCACCTCACTGGGATAGGTGTCATGAATTTTGGAGAGACACATGCATTGGAAACCCTTTGTATGTGACACCTGCCATGTCTTGGAAGGCGAACTTGATGACCGGGGAGGGACTAAGTGCCATGGGATGAGAATCGCCAGGGTTGATTCTCAGAGTCTTTGGACCCTGTCCCCATGCAGCTGCCACTCGCACACACAGTCATGTCAACAAGTATTCAGTAGAAGATGCTGAAAATAGCTTCCCGAGGGTTGGTCCACAAAGCCAGCAGCTGGGAAGGTCAGGAGGAAGGGCCACCATGGAGCGTGGGATGGGGACGGGGCCAGGCCCTCATGTTGGGGAACGGTTGCACTAGTTTGGGGACCATCACCATGGAGCTTGAAATACTAATCAGGGAGAGCATCTGGCATCTGTGCATGGCAGAGACAAACCTTGGAGCTGCTCTTGATGAGTGAAGAAAGGAATCGCACCATCAGCAGAACGGAGGCATCTCTCACGCGGTGAGGGCGAATGCGAAACTCCCCCCTCTGTCGTCATTTGGTGTCTTACTAATCAGTAATAAATAAGATCCTGATAAATCGGGCCCGATGTTCTGCTCTAAAATTAAATGGAACAAAAAATAGTTGAGAGCATGATAATTTTGTCTGTGGCACCTTAGCAATAATGGAACGTGTCCTATTGTACCCAGATCACGTATTTCCTATCTTGCCATTCCCATGCATGACAGCTGTCCCCAAAGAGGTCCAAGTGGCGGCTGCCATGTGGATGGTTGGCTTAAAGTGCCAGTTGTATTTCTGCATTGCCAAGTATGGCCAGGTCAGGTGACTTACCACTGATTTACTGTTGAAGACCTCATAGTTATTAAAGCACATACGTTTATCATAGAAAACATTGAAACTTAAGAAAAATTTAAAAAGAAAAATCATCTTGGTTCCAAATAGAGACACTACTGTGTTTTATAGGTTATTTATGTATGACTGTTTTAGGCACAAAAGAAACACATGCACACACCAACACATATTTGTAAATAACATTAATGAGTGGGGTTTTTTTGGTATCAGAGATTGAACTCAGGGGCACTGGACCACTGAGCCACATCCCCAGCCCTATTTTGTATTTTATTTAGAGACAGGATCTCACTGAGTTGCTTAAGGCCTTGATTTTGCTGAGGCTGGCTTTGAACTCATGATCCTCCTGCCTCCGAGCACTGGGATTATAGGCATGTGCCACCGGGCCCAGCCCATTCATGGGCTTTTGAAGAGTTTTACTGCTTTTTAAAAGAAGAACTTGTTAACTTCTGAACTTCAGCATATTTTAAGCATTTCTCTGTCATTAAATGCTTATTTGTAGAAAATCTGATATTTTAAAGTGATCTCAAGAGTGAAAACACAACTTGTTTTTATATTTTGGTATGTTTTCTTTCTGGCAGATGTGCCACTAACCCTGGACTCCTTATCCTCAGGACTGACAAGACATCTCGTGGGCCCCCATGTTGGGTTAGATGGGGTTGTGTTTGATATCTTCTCAGCACCCCAGACAGAGAGGGGTTAAGAGAGTAGTTGTTTAGGAGCCTTTGCTGTGAGCAAGCTCGGGTCTCAGTGCTGTCCTCGTCACAGCAAAGCTATGAACTAGAGATGTTTTCAATACAAGTAATATTCAAAGTGTTCTGAAATCAGTGGACCCTTAAGCAGCTGCCCATGTTGCACAGCTAACTGGGACAAGAAGACAGGCAGGAAGCTGGCTACCCAGATTCCAGAAGCCACTGTCCTTGATACCCCTTAACTTGTGCCTAGTCTCGGGGAGTCACCGTGGAGATGTGGTTAACCCTGCATAGGGGCCCGTGATGTTTCTTCAGGAAGCTCCTGTGTGACCATAGGTGCGTGGAGTCACCTTGGGCTCTGGAAGATACGGGGACATGCCTGCAAGCCGTGAGGAGCACCACCAGCACCAGGACACTCACTTCCCATCCGACTCCAGAACCAGCATCTGGACTGGAGCTCGTGCAGTTAAAGGCCACAGAACCTTCCCTGTCTTCCTGCAGGAGCCTGGTGCACACATGTGTTCACATTTATTCCACAGTATTTATGAGCACCATGTGGGCCGGGGCAGGGAGAGCTCTCACCATGGAGCCCTGAAGACCTCACGTGTCCACACAGTCACGCAGGCAGAGCTTGACCCAGAACCAAGCTGTCTTGGCAGAAATGCTTCTGACCCTCCTGCTCAGCCCGTCTCCCGAGTAGCTCCCGCCTGCCCTGCAGGGAGACGTGCCCGTGCTCTCCTGGCTTCTGTGAGGGATGGGCATTCCTGGCCTGCCCATCTCAGGATGGAGGGAGGGGACTGTATGCCACTCAGTGACATCCAGACCTGGCTCCTGGGCATTGCTGCATCCTAAGACTGGCATTGCATGTGCAGTGATGTTCTTTTGGAGAGTGGGATGCGACCATGGAGAGCGGGCACCTGGGGCTGTTCTTTCCTCTGTGATTTGAGAAGTGCACTGTCCACAAGATACACAGAGCTGCTGTGTATCTTTTCCAGCTGTGCCAGTCACACCTGTTTATGCCAATTTCATTGCTTTGCCATGTGTAGAAGCAACACATTGAGCAGAGCAGACGTGGTGGCTTTTCTACTCAGCTGTTGTGCATGTGTGCACGCACGTGTGCATGGGTGATTACAGATTATACTAATACTAGATTCTGTGCAATAGAAAACTTGATATGAAGACTTCCATGAGCTGTGTGGAGCAGTGAGGAGGGAGGAGGTGGGGCAGTCGGCCTTGCTCTTGCCAGGTGCTTCCCATCTGAGCCCACCTCACACCAAGTGTGGGGAACTCCGGTGCCCTTCATCCCAGGACTCGCAGTGAGCAGCCCTCACTCTGCAGCTGGAGTGCCCAGCATAGGAGAAGCAAGGTTCCCTGGTCCAGCCTGGCTCCTCCAGGAGGGATGGTTTGGGTCTGGAAAAGTTGCACTGCCTCATGGACAACACCACTGAGCTGTGCAGGGCAGAGCTCACCTTCCCTCTAGCTCGGATGGCAGAAGAACCCACAGGGGTGAGGAGAGCCAAAGTGCTCCTGCACCACAGTATCCTCTGACTGAGCACTAATTGTTGGGATGAGACAGGACAAGGTGAGCTCAGGGCGGCCCACGGCTCCATCAACTTTCCTCTGTTTGTGCTTGGAGGCCCCGAGCTTGGTCTTCAGCAGAGCAGCCGCTAGAGGCTTATTGAGAAGAGTTCCAGGGGCTACGATGCTGACCTACCAGAGCCTCTGAGCCTCTCTCTCCCCTGGGCCTTCTTGCTTTTAATCTTTTGTAGAAAGATTAAGAAAGACCTTCCCCAGACTTTAGCCCTGTCCTCGGGGGCTGCTCAAATGCATTTTGATAAGACCCAAAATATCGAGGGGTAAGCAGCACAGGGGATGGGTACTCCTCAAATGTCTCATGTCATTTTCCTGGCTTTCCTTGCAGTTATTAGAGGTCATGTGACTGGTCCTGACCAGTGGACAATCAATGCAATTAATGTGTGTCACTTCTAGATTGGGGTGGCTAAGAGCTGTATGCCTCTTCCTGATGTCCCCTGTCCTCTTCAATGATTCTGGAGGCCAGAGACTGCAGATGGTGCCTCTGTAAGATTCAAGGGAATTAACTAACTCATCAGGCTTACCTAAATAAATAAAAAAGGTTGAGGCTTTGGTATTTGTCCCTGTTGGAAGGTATCCTGAAAAATACAGACTGCCCATCCCCAAGCCTGTCTCCAAACCCCTTCCAACCAGTGCAGGCAAGACAGTGTATTGGGAGAAGCCTCCTAGGACAGAAGTTGTGTGCTCAGTCAGAGGGCACTGTGCTATGAGAGGACTGTAAGTTCCCTGACTCAGAAAGGTCTCTGCACCTTGAGTGGCGTTAGTCTCAGCTGCAGGGGAAATGGAACTCCCTGGGTCAGTCATGATGAGAAGACATAGTCAGATTTTTCCAACAGAGCATGAGCTTTGAATAGAGCTGGACCCAGAAGGTCTGATATTTCATGCAAAATGAAAGATATTAAGTCTGTTCATTTATACGGTAAGTTAAGTCAGGTATTAGAACCAAAGGAGATTTTAGAAACAATCTGTTGAAACCGTTCAATCTAGTTCATACACTGGATGAGGTCCACTGGGATCCCAGTCTCTGCAGTCCCCTGGGAAGGCAGAGGTAGGGGTGCCCCACCCATTAACTCTGGCTCCTTCCTATGAGTTCTGGGTTGGGCATCAGAAGTGGACCTCATTGTCCTGGTGGCCTGCATGAGTATGTCCGGGTTGCTGGAAACCATAGCAGCATCTACCTCCATGGCTGTGCCTGATGCTCAGAGCTGCTGGGGCCAAACCTGCCCATGGGGAGGATACAGGAGGGGGAGAGGTTAATGATGAGGCTCCTGATGAGTAGGCTGGGAGCAGCCTTAGAAGGAGACGTGTTTTCAGTCATGTAACCAGGTCTGCCTATGTTAAGGTGAGAAATGCCATCTGCCCTCCTGGTTGAGGGCGGCTTGTTCTCTTTCCTGCTGTTCCTTCTCTTTCACCCCCAAGGGCCCTCTCTTTCTTTTTTGTCTCCATTACTGGTCTCTTCCTATTGCAGGTTCATGCTATGTTTCTCACTCACTGAAAACAGAAAATTATAGACACTAGGAAGGGACTGAAGGGCAGGTTGGCCGTGAGGGGTTTTGTGGACACAGAGGGCCAGGTGGTCTTTCACGGTCACATCTTCTTTAGGGGGGAGAGAGTTTTCAGCGTGGCTGAGTGAGTTTTGTAAAGGAGGATAGTGGGCATTCAAAATCCAGTTTAGATCAGGCTTGGCTTTCTCCATATGTGTTCCCGCCTAGAATTGTTATGGGATGAGCCTTTCCCAGAAATTACCCATGAAACACTAGCCACAGACGATCTTTTGTAAATAACTGATTGGTTATAAAGGGGACTGCAGCCACACCTGAATGTCCACTCTGAAGTTCCCAGTGAGGCTCTGCCTTCAGTTGAGACTTGTAGCAGCTCAGAAGAGAAAGATTATATTCCAAGGAAGGGCAGCTGTGCTGAAGGTTAGGAGCACGCTCAGAACTTCCTCACAAACCCGTGGGATGAATGAAGCCGTGGGTCTTATGAGTCTCATAACTATGTACCTGTATAATCTATGTAGTCGCACGACACAGTGCTAAAGAGCTACCTAGCCTTTGGGATGAAACCTTAATTTTTGTTCTGGTTTTTCCAATTTGTATCTTGGTGACCTGGGGAATATTCCTAATGCCTCTAACCTTCAGTCTGATGTTTACAAAATGGGGATGATAAATGGGCCCTTGCATTCGAGTTCTGGGGGGGGGGGGTGTTAAATGTGAAGATTATGGAGAAGAAAATATGCCCTCTGAGCGGGACCTGAGATGCTCCGTGGGGAATCCCCCTGCCATTCGAGAAGCCCACCTCTGTGGTTCCTGAACATGCACCCCCTTTCCCTGGACACAGAGCTGGGTGACATTCCTCAGCCTCTGTGACAGTTGGATGTGGCTACGTGCCTAAGTATTAGCCAATGAGATGAGAGCAGAGTCAAGGCAAGCCCCATCCAGCCCTGTCCCTCAGAACCCCACCCACAGTCTTGTGTGGCTTCCCCTGCACTGTGTGCCTTGGCTGAGCATGGCAGGCATGTAGCTGCTTGACGGTGGTGGGGCTGTGACCTGGAAGAGAGACCCTGTTCGACTAGAGTATCCGTTCTAACTCTGCGAGAAAGACAATACATATTATCTTGCTTTAGCCAGGACTCCTGTCACCATGCATTTGGAGCAACAGCTAGTCTGACCTCCCTTTATAATACAGCACCCCACTGCTCTGACGAGGAGGGTCGGTGATGGATCTTTTCACTGCCGGGTGGGGCCTTCCCCCTGTGACCAGTTGTGCCTGGATGTGAGGCCTGTGTTCTGAAAGTTTGCTGGCTCCAACTTAAAATGCAATTTCAGCACCTTGGGGCACATCTAAGCCACATCCCCAGTAGAAGTTGGGGTCTACTGACTACAGTGGTAGAAGTTTAGAAGGCAAAGTGCCAGCCATATGACTGAACTTTAAACAGAGACAGTGATGTGACCTACCTCAGATACACCTCTTGTGAATAATCATCACTGTCACCGTCACGTCACATTCATCTTCCTCTTCATTATCACCACCACCATCACCATCATCTTTATCATCATCATCTTCATCACCATCATCACCATCACCACCATCATCACCACCACCACCACCACCACTACCATCACCATAATCACCTCCATCATCACTACCATCACCATCATCACTACCACCATCATCATCCTCATGACTAAATCTACACACTTGTGTGTTCACTCACTAAACAGATTTTGAGCAGCTACCAGGTGCAGGACATGGTTCATGCTCTGGGGGAACCTATATTATGGAAGGGAAATATCAATAACACATAATCCAGGGAACGTGGGAGGGAGGTTTCTGTTGTAATAAGTGCTATAAAGAAATAAAGCAGAATAAGGGTACTGTGGAGGATCCTGTTATTTTAAATAGGGTGGCAGGAAGGGAATCTCTAAGCACAGACCTGGAGTTGAGGTGAAGCGTAGTTCTGTCAGTTCTGTCGTGATGGACAAGCATTTTGACATCAGTACTGTCAAGATGCGGGCCATCTCCGTCCCCACTGCTGGAAGTGATCATGTGTTGTTTTTTTCAAATTCTTTCTTCCTTCTCTCTCTCTCTCTCTCTCTCTCTCTCTCTCTCTCTGGAGACTGAACCCAGCGTATTCTACTACTGAGTTACATCCCCCATTCCGTTTTATTTTTGTTTGGAGACAGGGTCTCACTAAGTTGCTATGGTTACAGTGTGGAGCCTTTCCTGATTGACCACTTTAACTTAGTAATATGCATTGAAGTTTTCCACATGTCTTTTCATGATTTGGTGACCCATTAACTCATTTTTCTTTTGCATTGAGTAACATTCCATTTTCTGGATACAATACCACTTACTTATCATCTACTGGAGGACATTTGATTGCTTACAAACCTTGGTAACTATGGATGATGTTTCTGCAAACAACTGTGTGCAGGTTTTGTGTGGACACAGTGTTCAACTAATGTGAGTAAATACCAACGAGCAAAACAGCTGGTTGTGCCATCAGAGCATAGTCAGTTGGGTAAGAAGCCATCAAACTGTCTTCCAAGGTGATTGCACACTTGGCTCTCCCACCAGGAGCTGCTGAGCGCTCGGGCCCTCCACCTCCTCACCAGCACCTGCTCTTACAGGTGCTGTGGCTCTGGGCTGTTCCAGTTGTTGTGCAGGGCTTCTCAGTGGTGCTGTGGCTTGGGATTCTTATTGCCCTGGGACGTGGAATATCCATTCACCTGCTCACTGGTGATCTGATATGATCCTCATTTTTAAACCAGACTGTTTCTTTTTTTATTGATGAGTTTTAAGAATTCTTTGCATATTTGGATAACAAGTCTCTATGAAATATTTCTTTTGCAAATACTTCCTGCCAGCCCATGGCCTGCATTCTTATTTTATTGGCAGTGTTTTCCAAAGGGCAGGTTTAATTTTAATGAAATCCAGCTCACCAGTTTTCTTTTCTTGGTCATTCTTGAGTGTTGAATCTGAAATGTTGTCACCACAACCAAAGCCATCCAGCTTTTTCTCCTATGTTATCTTCTAGGAGTTTCAAGTTCACATTTATGTCTACATCGTCCTGAGTTAATGTT